TGCCCTCGACAATTGCTTCTTCCCGGAAGGATGTGTTACTAGGCGTGACCAGGCCCATCGATCACTTCTAACCTGTTTAAAGAAAACTGATTTTGCCTCGCCTTTAAAGGCATTTTTCATGTGGTTATTTGTATTTACATATGCGGTATTCGTTTTTTGTTTTTTTTTCTCCCCTCCTAAGTTCCTTTCTTCTATGTTCCCCTTCTCGAACGAGCAAGAAGACGTTGTTTTCCTATAGGCGGCAGTTGTCGACTGATACCTCCGTATTTCCTTTGTGTCACCTTGTTTTTTGTGTATACAAACCAAATAATAAATAATGACGCATGCATCAAAAGCCGCGCTTTCCTCAGGCTTGTTTCCTTGGCGATATGCCTCGCAGGTTAATGGCTTCATTGCTACGTTTACCGTGCTCTACCGCAAGGTAAATAAATCATACTACAAACCTTAGTTAGTTGTTTAGTTATTTATTCAGTCAGTCAGTCATTTAGTCGGTCGGTCGGTCATTTAGTCGGTCGGTCGGTCATTTAGTCGGTCGGTCGGTCATTTAGTCGGTCGGTCGGTCGGTCCGTCCGTCCGTCCGTCCGTCGGTCGGTCGGTCCGTCCGTCGGTCGGTCGGTCCGTCCGTCCGTCGGTCCGTCCGTCGGTCGGTCGGTCCGTCGGTCGGTCGGTCCGTCGGTCGGTCGGTCCGTCCGTCGGTCGGTCGGTCCGTCGGTCGGTCGGTCCGTCCGTCGGTCGGTCCGTCGGTCGGTCGGTCCGTCGGTCGGTCGGTCGGTCCGTCGGTCGGTCGGTCGGTCCGTCCGTCGGTCGGTCCGTCCGTCGGTCGGTCTGTCGGTCGGTCCGTCGGTCGGTCCGTCGGTCGGTCAGTCAGTCAGTCAGTTAGTTAGTTAGTCGACATTGGGCAAATTCCATCCTTTGACACAACGTGACCAAGTATAGTAAGTTGGCGAGTCCCAAAGCGGCACTTCTTTAGGTTAAGCTGGAGGTTTGCCTTGGTAAGACACTGAAGAATGGTGCGCAGATGGTCGACGTGGGTAGGGAAATCAGGCGAAAATACGATAACATCATCGAGGTAACATAAGCATATCGGCCATTTAAGGCCGCGTAAAATGCTGTCCATCATTCGCTCAAACGTTGTAGGTTTATTGCACAGACCGAATGGCATAACCATGAATTCGTATAGGCCATCCGGCGTAACGAACGCTGTTTTGGGACGGTCACACTCTGCCATCGGAACCTGCCAGTAACCTGAACGTAAGTCCAGCGAAGAAAAGAATTCGGCACCTTGTAGGCAATCGATAGCGTCATCGATGCGGGGAAGAGGGTATACATATTTCCGTGTAATTTTGTTCAGTCGCCGGTAGTCGACACAAAATCCAATCGAATCGTCTTTTTTCTTCACTAGCACAACAGGTGAAGACCAGGGGCTAGAAGATGGTTTGATGACACCGCGCTGAAGCATATCATCCACCTGCTCTGCAATTACACTTCGTTCCTTGGGTGATACGCGGTAGGGGCGTTGCCGCAAAGGAGGGTGCGTTCCTGTGTAGATTGTGTGAGCGACGGTGTTGGTTTGACTCAGTGCCTTTTGAGGAAGGTCAAATGAATCTCGGAATTCATGCAGAAGGACTATTAGCTGGTCCCGTTGATCCGAAGGAAGCTTGCTGTCGATGGAACGATTGAAGATATCCGAGGACTAGTCATCCCGCGTAAAAAGAGGAGTAACGGCGTTCAGTTGAAGTTGCTGGCCAGGGTCGTGGGACTCAATAGGCACAATAACGTTGTCATCAACAGGATGAACATAGCCCAGTGTTTCGTGAGTTCTTAAGGTGAGAGGGCTTGAGCTAGGATTGCAAACGACAATTCCGGAAGTATCTTGGTGAGGTGGCAGAATGGCGTATGGGAGAGACGTACCGTGGCGGCGACTGAAAACTTCAGATGGGGAGAACACAACGGTAGAGCCGGACAATTCAGTGCGATTGACGGGGATGACGATGGCACTAAGGGGAGGAACATCAACGTCGGAAGCAACAAGAAGCTTGCCCAGATGAGTGCGCTCATTGTCGGTAGATGGGGCATCTGAAAACACAGATAATTCCACCTGCACGTGAGCGCAGTCAATTACGGCGTGGTGCGGTGACAAAAAATCCCATCCTAGTGTCACGTCGTGGGCACAAGTGGTCAACACGAGAAACTCGATGTGGTACAGGACGTCCCGAATGATTACTCTCGCTGTACATGCTCCGACTGGTCGAATAGGTTGCGTGCTCGCGGTATTCAGCAATACGTCGGAAGGCGGCGTCGTTACTTTTCGTATCCAACGGCAGAGTTTTTGACTCATCACAGATACGGCGGCACCCGTGTCAACAAGCGCAAGAGTTCGTAGACTTTCAACAAACAGTTCCAGAACGTTTGTGGGGGACGGGCGAGGACTTCTACAATGCGACGATTTCGCAGCTCGTGCCTCCGGAGCTGCGGCAGTCAGTTTTCCGTCTCTGCGGGGTTCGGTCGGCGACGCAGCGGGGACGGAGAACGGTAGCGGCGTGGTGATGATGAGCGACGGGGACCAAATGGTCAATAGTCGGCAGCAGGGTGGTGGTCTATTTCGGATGGAGACTGGTCGCGTTGCACTGATTGTCGGTCGCACTGACGTTGCAGTTCTCGTTGCGCGTTGTACGGGGCCAGTAAAGAGTAGTCAGGGTACCTTGGAGGTGCAGCCGGGCCCGTTGTGAAGCGCCGGCGACAGAAGCGCGCCACGTGACCTGGATATCCGCATGCATAACATATTGGACGATTGCCAACTGTGCGCCAAGGGTTTCCGTGATAGCGCTGTTGTGTTGCTGGAACTGGCGTCGTTTGTACTCGTTGAGGCTGGGGAGTCGACCGAAGTGGAGGTCGTGGTGGAGTAGCAGCAACAGCAGCGTAAGTCAATGGTGCGGTGACAGGTGTTGTCTGAGAGACGGGCGGCAGTGCCTCAGAGACCTGCGCCTGTATTACCTGTCTGATGGCGGGCGCGAGACGCTCAGAAGAGGGTTCCGTTGCCGGTTGATACGACAGACACGAAAGTTGTCGGGCCACCTCCTCGCGCACATATCGTTTGATTTCCGACGTGATTGTGTTGTTGTATCCACCTAGGGTCAATGCCGCGAGAGTTTCGTCGGTAGCCGCTGGCCACCGTGTCATGACCCGTTGTTTGCGCAATTTCTCGAAGCTCTGGCAAAGAGTGGCGAGTTCGGACACGGTACGGGGGCCCTTGGCCAGCAGCATCTGGAAGGCGTCGTTGTCTATCCCCTTCAAGATGTGTTTGATCTTGTCTGCTTCGATCATAGAAGTGTCAAGGAGCTTGCACAAGTCGAGCACATCCTCGATGTAGCTTGTGAAGCCTTCCCCCTGAAGCTGTGCGGTTCCCCGTAGGCGCTGTTCGGCACGGAGCTTGCGTACCTCGGGGCGACCGAACACATCGGTAATGCGTAGCCTAAAGGCACCCCAAGTGGCGAATTCCGAGTGGTGGTTGTTGAACCAGAGACTCGCCACCTCTTTCAGGTAGAAGGGTACATATTGAAGCTTCGAAGGGTCGTCCCACTTGTTGCTTGCGCCTACCTTTTCAAATGTCGACAGCCAATCTTCTACGTCTTGCTCATCGGTACCGTCGAAAAACGTTGGATCACGCACACGTAGCGAAGTGGGCACGATGACCATCGGAGGCTGGGGTTTCGTACCTTGTGTGTGGTTCCTTCAGCACGCATTTCTTGGAATGGAGGGTAGTTTCCGGTGCGGAGTCAGGTGAAGTAACCCAGCCACCTCCACCACTCTGACACGTGGGGGTTTACTTGGGCACAAGTAGCACTTGCCACAGTCAGGGTTATATTGATGCGGAAAGCGGGCGGCAGCAACGGACTCAGGAATCACAGCAATCGGGGCCAACGCTCGCGTCTTGGCTCCTTTTGCTCAAGGCCGTGACCCACGCGGCACATATTCTTCTCCTCTCTAACATTTGTAATGTTCCGCTCTTAAAGTAATACCAGCCGCTTCGAAAAATATAAGTCAAGGATCAAATATATGCAATCTATTCCAACCAAACCATCAGTGTTATCTTTTTTTCTAAGCAACCCTCGCATGTATAAATAAAGGACGAACAACCTGCGTTGTTAAATCACTATTTACAGGAACAGGCAAGAAGATGTGTTTGTGATTCACTAGACATCTTGTGGCACTGAGCAGTAGACCTATAGCTACGGAAGCAGTAGACCTAGCCCCCTTCGCACACACCCCCCCCCCCCCCTCCACCCAAAGTCCAACCGAATTTTATCTCATGTATAATATATGGCGGTAGTATAGTAGAACAATATAGGATATAATGGGCTCCCTCGTCTGTTCTCGAACGTAGCACGTAACTTCTTTCTCTCAGAATATCCAACGATTTTCAGAGAAATAATGGCACTGCATGAGAGGCATGGAACCGTTTGGATTCTGAGGAAGAACATTGCAAGCGAATTCCACGAAAAAGAGGTGTTTTCTTCCATCAGAGCTCTTCTGAATTCTCCGAATGAAATGTTTGCCGCAAACTAGGGTTTGGCACGGCACGACTAAAGCAATCCGCAGCTGCTTTCATTAAAGGCCTAACTGCGCAGAACAGTCGTAGAACATTTGACAGATGGTGGGTAACCAATGTGCTCTTGCTTAAAACAATGTATTGGAGAGGTCAAGGTTCGTACGAAACGCCAGCGAAACAGCTGAGTCACACTCACGAATGCATTTTATGAACCTTTTTCGCCACTCGTCTTGACGATGCCTTCATCTCGTCATGAAAGCTTCAGTTATTCTAATGCAAAAACGTTCTATACCAGTGCTATCATTTCTTCTGCTCACCGTGGGTGTTCAGTTTTCTGTCTATCATGTTGGGCTTCGCTCTTCATCGACGAGATGTGGAGCCACGAGTAAGGCGGTAAAGTTTGAATACGTCACGCAAACCTGGAGGCATTGTGACCCAACCGCCAACCAGACCACCGTACTCATCAGCGTCACTTCGAGTGCAGATCACTTCCAGAATCGAATGGCGATACGCGACACATGGGGAGGCACGGCCCTCAAAATGGGCTTCGTCGTAGTCTTCCTGTTGGGGGCGACACCGGACCACGAAGTACAAAGAAAAGTGCTGGCAGAAAACGATATTTACGGTGACGTCGTTCAGGGGGACTTCATCGAGAGCTACGAGAATCTCACCTACAAGACCGCGATGATGATTCGTTGGACTCGAGCAAAATGCTCAAAGGCTGAATTCGTGCTCAAGATCGACGACGACATGATCCTCAGTGTGTGGGACTTTGCCGTCATCTTGAAAGGTTTGGAAGGAATCAAGCACTCAATGTGGGGCTACTTGTACCGTCATCACGGACCCAATCGCAACGTATCTTCCAAGTGGTATGTGTCTGAAGAGGAATACGCGCCAGATACATATCCAGACTTCCTCTCTGGCACAGGCTATCTGATTTCGGGCGACGCCATTTCAGCCCTGGATGACGTTATCCACGACGAGTGCTTCTTTCCTCTGGAAGACATCTATTTGACCGCCATTGTAGCTGAGAGGGCACAAGTAAGACGTTTGCATTTGAATGGCTTCTCGAACGAACACATCGGATACTACCAGCCATGCTCGATCCCGATAGTTGTGACATCGCATGGCTGGAGCCCAAGAGCCCTGAGAGAACAATGGAAGTTTGCAGTCGACCGCTTGAACTTTACACTTTGCGTGGGAATAAATAAGCACCAGATGGTGTCCTAGGAATCCGTACCAGATATTGTAGTTCTTAGGAGGGCTAACTGGTTCACTAACACTGTGGCAAACTCCGAAATGAGACTTTGCATGAAGAATCAAACTTTTTCTTTGGGGAAAGGCAGAGAAAATACAGGCAGCTGAACAATTGCGACAAAAAAAGCGTTATACAAAACAATTTATATTGACTGACCTTCACGATTGGTTTCACCATCAGTTTTGATTAATGTTTACATGAAGCTCGGAAACGAAAATTTTATGGCATTGTAATTACAACCAAAAACAACAAAAAAGACCATGGCTTGGCCATTGGTACAACACTGATTAAAAACTGCTTGAACCAGGAAATCATAAGTCAACAAAAGCCAAGAACCAAAGTATAAAAAATGTTCGTAATCAAATGACACGTCTAAAAGAAACTGCAACCAGGGGCAACGTAACGACCACATAAGCATGTTGAAAACAAACTACGTGAACTGAAATGAGGTTCTATGTTGCTATTTTTAAGTGCTACAAATGGCATAATAACACACGCTGATAATTTACCAAGGGCACACATAATGCGCAAGAAGGGAGGAGCTTGTATTAGATCGGCATAAGTAGAACGCCTTGACAAAAAAGCTAGACACCTTGAGTCTCATTTAATATCATGCAACTTGTTGTCAACTGTTTTTCCTTTGATTTTTATTGTTCCTGGAATGATTTATTTGTACTCTACGGGCCTAGTAAGACCATGCTAAGAACTACTCAATGTGTGCACATGAGCACAACTGCTGACTTTACACGATCATGTCTATCTACCGTGTAATGCTTGACGCACAGCTCAGGCTACTACTCACCGACTTCCTCGCATGAAATCGATTCAGACAACTCGTGGGATCCACCCATTTTTTAAAACTTTATATATAGTTGCTTATTTAGTAGTGTACAACAATCAATATTCTTTTGCACATTGCATGCATCGTTGTTTAAGCCGAAATTATATAGTGTTTTGTTAGCGTTTGTAAATTAATTCTGTTTCGTACTGTTGTGCATGCTGCAACCTCCTTTCATGGCTTTGGTGTCATGTTAGGTTCGCAGTACATTTAAAAAAATATTTTATAGTAACACAGGCTAGTGTATGACCTTCCTTTGCGCCGTGACCCTTCGACAGCCAAACATCACTTAGAAATGTGCTAGGTTGTTATATGGTGGATTTGGGACACTCGATCCCACATATTAATCATTAATATGCTGGGTCGATGATTTTAAACTAATTTCGAATTATTCGTTTACGAACTATTAGTACTGCACGACAGCTATAATAAATCTATCTACGACCTCCACTATTGAAAGCATTCGTATAGGAAACATCAAATGTAATAGACTATAATTAGCAGTCAACCATGTGCTGAAAGCCTGGCAATCCATCGAAGCCCGTCGGACGCAAGAACTGCTAAGGAACGAATCAACTTAACTTTAACAATCTAAGTGTATAGAACGGAAAATCTGGGCTTCTGCGCGCGAACACCGAAATATGTTTGTAAATTGTGCTGTAGTTCTTAACTCCGGAATTATTTCGACCACCCATGGGGTTCTCTGACGTTCATTTAAATTTACGTATGCAACTAAGGTTGCATGGCGGGCTTGTTGGTTATTCATGTTGTTCAAGGAATAGCGCATCCAGGGCGGGACAGAGAAGAAGACACAGAACACATACATGGCACTAACTTTCAACAATGCGGTTTAATCTGAGAAACAGCAATACTTATACCCAAACATAGCGCGTCGCAACCACGTGCTAGAACCAGAAAATTGTGATCTATTGCAACTCATGCGACATCCAAATAATGCAATTCTTTCAATGGTAATGATACTTATACATGCTACTTATGGCTTGCTTATACATGCGTCCTCAAACTTGGCAATGAATTTCGCTTCTCTAATGAGCCTTGTTATTCGGTTAGCGCTTCTTCCGATTATGCTGGTGTGATTAAAGATGGGTTGGCACCCGCATTATTTGCAGTGAATTGCAAGAAAACCCTCAGGCTGTACCTTGGCCACGTTATTTTTGTGTTAGTTCAGCCTATCACAGCTATATAGGCCAAACCGGTAGATGCATCAATGATGCATCTACACTCGCGGCTAAGTACACTCGTGGCTAAGTGTACCTCGCTATTTTCACCGTCTGGCTGTTTGCGGCCACGTCCACTAGGGAGATGCGGCAGCACATGCACAGCGATGGCTGCGTCCGTCACGTTAACTGTTTACTTCCAGGTGCAGTTGCATATGTGTAGGTGAGTTGTTCTCTATTTATTCAAGATGGCATGTGACAGAGGTGCTACTTCCACAAAGACAACGTGGTCCGAAGATGAGAAACAGGCGCGAAAATATCAAATATACTTTGTGCTACAAATCCGTCAATCGCCACTGCCACCGTTTCCAAAGTACTTTTCGCTTCCTCGTGTAGCAGCGAACCGCCAAAATGACACCTCATGAGCGTAAGTACACTCGCTCAAACTACACTCAACTTGCTACGTGTGACAGGGGTATAAGCTTTCTGCGTTCACGGTGATTTGCATTACACCAATATAAATACGCTAATACAGGGACTCAGACGGACGAGTTCCTGGCTTTCTGCGTCCGTTCTATGTAGCATTGTTTCATTGGAACTAGTGAAGACAAGCCAATCAGCAATATTTAATAATTTTCCACGTGACGTCATGAACGCAGCTCGTGAACATGCTGGCACTGCGCGATGGCGGCTTTGGTGACAAACAAGCTGCTGTGGTTTACATGCCTCAATGTGATAACGACGTGGAAAGAACGCCTCCTAGCGCGAATAATCTGCATGTGATGTTTTGATAATACTTACGTGATCGCCAAAGTCACGTCCTCTAATGCTGGTGCTCCGATACGACAGGTTTGAGAGACGTCGTTATACTGCCAGACATCTTTGTGTCCAGCGTTGCTCCGGTAAACAGCGAGCGTCATATACACGTTTTACAACATGTAGACGTGCGCTGCGCGATTGTTTGACCTTCACGTTCCCCTTTTTGGAGACCATGTCACCCAAGAGCTGCGTTGTGTGCTGCCAGTGTAAACACCACTGGCTCGCAAAGCTTGACATCGTGGGAGCCATGTCAGGTAAAAGGCGAGCGGAGTCCTAGTTTGGTGGTGCTGTGAGCGTCGGGCTCACGCTGTCCAATCAGCGTCAAGATTTACTTCTCTGCTGCTGCAACTCCGTACCTAGGGACAAGACCACAGTGGTGAAGTTTACGCTTATCACTGATAGTACTTGAATACTTTGTTTTTTTTTTCTCCATCGTTGGTTGTTTGGAGATTGTAGGCGTACATGAGAATATATTGGGGCTGGCTGGATGCGTTTCGGCAACAGGTGAAGCACATATCAACCAATGAGAGCTGCTTTGTCTCCAAAGTACGACGGCGTGCTGCCGTCAGTTGATTACAAAAGCAACGGAGAAACTAGCGCAGCTTAACTGGTTGACTGCAGTCATCGCCTGCAGCGCCTGCGCGTTCATGCTCGCATTCACCTCCAGATACCATCGCGATGTTCGAGAGGAAATCAAATGACGAGGATTCCACCTCGTTGGTGCAGCACAGCATATTTCCTGCGATAAGTACTTACCCATGCACCTCCGAATTTAATGCCTCGTCGAGCAGTGTCCCGTGGTAGAGATCGAACATTTTCGAACGAGTGAAGCACACAGGCTACTTCCCCTTGTGTTATTTTAAGTACCAAAATACGTAAGCTATAACAATGTTGTTGCCTGCACTTTCTTTCTTGTAATTTTCGCTTTCATATCGGTGTATTACAATTGCTCCATGAGAACTGAGCTTGCCGTAGTCGAGTCTCTGGCTCGTTGTCTATCTCGGCCCAGACACAGCATTTTAGTTGATATGATAGGAGACCTCTACGTGTTACAAATGTTATCACGAGCGTTGATGTCTCATCACCTCAGGAGGAATCATCATTCACTGTTTCCTCGAACTGTTCATAAGACATGTCTGAATACTTTTTCTGTATTTGTTTCAAGGACTCATAATCAAGGCTTCCGTTACAACTAGATATTGCACGTGAGAGGACGCATTAGTTTTTTTAATGGTTCAGGCTGTGGAGTGACCGTATTGTGGCTGCGTATTGACTTCAAAGACAATGAGCAAAGTGCAGGTGGTCGTTTTCGCTGCTGCATCTCAAAGGTCATAGGTTATTATTCAGAGCAATTGTTGCAGGTTCCACCCCAACGTAAATCGTGGATAGAGAACGCGGTGATGGATAGGCAATGCTTGTCACAGAATCTGTTAACGAAGACTTTTAGCCATTCCAGCCTCAGATGGTGGTGGGAGTGGCTTTCAAAAATAATTTAGCAAAATATATATTTAGCCGTTTCGCACACCTCAGTTGACTAAACGAATAGTGGCACAACAGGTACTTGTATACATTTTCACTTGCTGCATAGAAACAAGTAGCACGTTCAGATGGTACTTCACTGAACAGGAATACGCATGGAGCGCAAGTAAACGATTCAGGCTCAGCCGGCTAGCCCACTTCGGTGGTGTCGCAATTACAACTTTCAGCTGCTGGCCCAAAGGTCGCGGGTTCGATCTCGGCAGCGGCGGTGGCATTTTTATGGAGGTGAAATGTTACCCTACATTTACTACCCCGTTGAATGAACTATGCAAAGTGATAGCATGATCTTTTTTATTGTTCTTTCATTTTTGTCTTGTTTTCATGCTTTTTTTTTTCTTTCTGGAGGCTACACCTGAATATTTGCTGTGCCCTTCCAATAAAGTTTTAGTTGAAAGTAGCGCTTGTCTAGCGTCATTCGCTTGTCTTTAGTACGTGAAAGCAATGGGATAGTCAGGGTGAACAGTGGAAGTGCCTCAGAACGCCTGGCCGACCTTTCGATAGGAGGACCTATGTCCTCCTAGCTAGCTAGATGGCTAGCTAGCTAGCTAGATTAGCTAGCTAGCTAGATGTGCATGTAGCTAGCTAGCTAGCTAGCTACATG